CCCGGCTTCCTGCGTCTGTCCGCGTCGCACTTGCAGACTCCTCCCCCACATATGTCGCACGTAGCACCACCACTCTCCCTTGTCCAGGTGCCCCCTCCGGCACCCTCACCGGTCTGTACATCCCCTCGTTTGCCAGGTACCTAGTGGGTGTCGGTCACCTTCAGGACCGAGGCGTCGCCACTACGTTCCTTGGCCGCGAGAGACACGCCACTTGCACAGACAGCCACCGGTCGGCACTTAGCCACGTTTGAGCATGACCCAGGGTCAAGTCCCCTTACACATCATACTGAGTCCCCGCCGACTGGCAAGTCTGCATCGGTTGTTGCGTCCTGCTCCTGTCCCTTCATAGCCCACCCGACCCTCCTGTCACCCTGCACTGCCACGTCTTAGGCATATGTCCCAGCACGGTCTAGTCATTGGTCTCCCTGCGTCGCTTCCTGCCCTGCCTACATCGCTAGCGCCACTGTGCACATCCTGCGTCGAGGGCCGGCAGCGCGCCGCCCCTCACTCCTCCTCGTTTTGTTCCTACCACAGCGCCGCTACAGACGCTGACCATGGACGTCTGGGGCCCTGCCCCGGTCCATGGTCTTAGTCGGGAGCACTACTTTGTAGTCGACCTTGACGACTTCTCTCTCTTCACTACAGTTTTCCCGTTGGAGCGGAAGGCCGGCGTGCCTACAGTTCTCCTCCAGTGGCTTCTTACTGTTCACACCCATCACCGCCTGCCGGTAGGTTGTTTATACTCTGACCGTGGTGGCAAGCTTGCCTTTGGCACTCTTGTACAGCTCTGTCGTGCGGAGGGCATCCGCTAGACGTACACACTGCTGGACTCCCCACAGCAGAATGGGGTCACTATGCGATGCATCGGCCTGATCATGGAGGTAGCTTGCACCTCCATGGCCCACGCTGGTGCACCCAATTTTCTGTGTCTGTTCGCCGTACGCTATGCTGCTCACCAGCTTAACCTGTGGCCGTGCTCCTAGTGGCCACAGGTTTCGCCGACCCTCCTCTGGACCAGGTCTCCTGGTGACGAGTCTGCGTTCCACGTCTGGGGCAGCCTGGCTCATGTCCGCGACACTCGCGCGAACAAGTTCCCAGCCCGCACCCTTCCTTGTGCCTTCTTGGGGTTTCCGCTTGACGCCTCTGACTGGCTGTTCTATCACCCCTCACACCACTGCTTTTACCACTCTCGTGATGTTACCTTCAACGAGACGCTCCCTTATTACCGGGGCTTCCCCCACTGCAGTGCTCCTGTGCCTCCTCCTCCTCTCTTCCTTATCCCTGCCCCGCCTGCCGCACCCCTCCCGCCCTGACCGGCCCTGTCTGGTGTCTCCCATGCCACTCAGTTCCCCTCGGTTGTGCCTGCGGGGGGAGTCGGCTGACTCTGGGGGCCCAGCTGCTGGGGGTGCGTCTGCTGTCCCTGTTGCACCTCCCCCAGCTTCGGTACCCCAGGCAACTCAGCCGCCTCCTCCCTTGCCTCAGCAGCAGCAGCCGTCGCCGCACGAAACTCAGTGACCGCAGCAGCAGCAGTAGCAGGGAGCAGTGGGCTATGAGGGTGCTGGTTCTAGTGGTGCTGGTGTTGGCGGTGTTGGTGTTGGGGATGCTGGTGTTGGTGAAGTTGGTGTTGGGAGTGCTGGTTCTAGGGGTGCGAGTTCAGGGGATGCGAGTTCTAGGGGTGCTGACTCTGGAGGTGCTAGTTCTGGGGGTGCAAGTTCAAGGGGTGCTGACTCCGGGGGTGCTGGTTCTGTAGGTGGTGCGTCCGATGGTGCTAGTCTTGGGGGTGCTGTTTCGCAGCTTGCCGGTGGCAGCAGCTGTGCCGCCCGAGGTCCTGGAGAGGATAGGGAGCAGTTGCAGCTGCAGCAGCAGCCGCAGCAGCAGGCACAGCCACCGCAACAGGAGCAGCCGCACTCTGCCCTTTGTCTCCTTGCTCCAGGTTCCCCTATCTTCCCTCCCGTTCCCCCCAAGGTGCGTGACCATGTTTACGGCCTGTTGTTTCCTCCTCCGGACTCCTCTCCGGCTCGTTTTCCCCCACGCTCCCCTCCGTCCCTGACTTGTCCCCCATTCCCCCTCGTCCCGAGTCCCTAGCTCTTCCCCACTGGGTCCGTCGCCCCTCTGGTGCTTGTCCTGTCTCTCCCCACCCCAGTGTCCACCCTATGGTCCTTCCTTTGTGTGCTCCTCCTGTCACAATCCTCCCGTTGCCTCCCCCGTCGTCGCTCCCATCGTCCCCCCCTCCTCGCTTCGACGCTGCTCGCACTGCTCCTCCAATCCTCTCGCGCCTGCTTGTGTCGCTTGTCACAGAACCTACTACTCCTCCTGAGTCTGTCTCTGCGCTTGTCCCTGCAGTCACTGACTTTGCTGCTAGCCACCGCCTTGACTACGCTGCCGCTCTGGTCTCTGGTACTGCCCATCCTCTATCCGGCAGGGGTGCACCTGCCCTTGGCAGTGACGTGCTAGAGGACAGGCAGTACGAGTTTGTCTACCTTGCTGCCACTGTTCCCCATCTCTGCTCCATGCTTGTATCCCTAGAGGGTGAACCAGACGCTCTCGACATCCCTGTTCCGCGCTCTTACGCTGAGGCGGTTTCGGGGCCCTGGGCAGCCCCGTGGATACAGGCCATGGAGGCATAGATGGCATTCTACAAATCCACAGGCACTTACGTCGACGCAGTTCCCCCACCTGGGGCGAACCTAGTCGATGGCATGTGGATCTACAGGGTGACGCGTAGACCTGGAGAGCCGTTGAAGTTCAATGCTCGTTACGTGGCTATATGGTGGAGCTGAGGCGCTATCTGGGCTTGGAGATCGCTCGTGACCGCGCCGCTCACACGATCACACTCTCTCCGTCCCATATGGTGCAGCAGATCCTCCACAAGTTCAGTCTCCAGTTTTTCGCAGACGCCCTATCCCCATGCATGTGGATCACAAGCTCTCTGCTCCTGTTCCGGCTGAGCCAGTCGAGGCTTGTGGTCCATACGCAGAGTTGGTGGGGTGCCTCATGTACCTGATGACCTGCACTCGACCAGATCTAGCGTACCCTTCTGGCTCGCTTTGTTGCGACATGCATGCACCGACCAGTCCACTCGTCGGCTGCCAAGAGGGTGCTGCGGTATCTGGCGAGCACATCAGGACTGGGGCTTGTGCTAGGAGGACGGCAGCCAGTGGTGCTCACTGGACACACAGAAGCTTCGTGGGCCGACGACTTGGAGACGCTCAGGTCGTCTCAGGGCTACTGCTTCAGTCTTGGTGCTGGTGCGGTCTTGTGGAGGTCCACCAGGTCGTCGTCTGTAGCTCAGTTCAGCTGTGAGGCAGAGATTTACGCTGGGGCATGGTCGTTCAGGAGCTCCGCTGGCTGTCGTTCTTGCTCACTGACTTAGGTGAGCAGCCTAGGTCTGCCCTGGTCTTGTTTGCTGACAACAAGACCATGATCCTTGTGTGTCAGGAGGCTCGACTTGAGGGCAGGGCAAAGCACATCCAGCTGCGGTCCTTCGTGCTGCGTGAGTTGCAGCAGCGCGGTCAGGTTTGTATAGTACAGTTGGCCTCAGAGGCCAACACCGCTGATATCTTCACCAAGGCACTTGCGCCTCGTGACCATGGCCCAGAATTGGTTTAGAGGCACCCTTGGGAATCAAGGTATCGCTACAGAATGACCCTGCCTCCTAGGGTGGAATTTTCAACACCCTTTGAAAATCAGGGTGAATTCGTAAAAAAAATCCAATACCCTATTTGAGTCAGGGCCATCACCCTGTCCACTGCACGGTTAACAGCTTCTACAATTTCAGCTTCTTCTTATTAGCAAGCATACAAGTAGGATCACTACAGCAAAGCATCAACAGCCTCTCCTACTTCAGCTACTTCTGCCAGCATTGCACCACTGCACAGATACAGCAACTGCAGGGGGGGCAGTAACAGCTACAGTGTTCCTTCCTTCCGCGGATGGAGCTGCTGCTAGAGGTGCTGAAGGGGAATAAATATGGGGGAAAGGACATGGTGATGCGCGGGGGGAGTAGCAATAGTCTAACAGAGCAGCGGGAGACTAAGGGCATATTTGTGAGTTTAAACTGCTCATTCCGCTCACGAATACGCCCTTACACCCCTACTATAAACTCGCATGCGCCACGAGAGACTAAGGGCGTATTCGTGAGTTTGCATCAGAAAAGAAATCAGAATCAAATTCGTGCAAAACCGAACCGAACCTCATTAGACTGCTCATTTTGCTCTTGCACCTCACTGTACCGTGCAATTATGAATTCGATTCTGGTTCTGATGCTACCTCAGGAATACGCCTTGAGGGAGCAATGAGAGACAACAGGAGCAGCGAGATACTAAGGGAGCAGCAAGAGACTAAGGGAGTAGAGAGAGACTAAGGGAGCAGCAAAAGATGATGGGAGCAGCGAGACTACGGGAGCAGCGAGAGACTAAGGCAAGGAGGAACAGAGAGACAAACAAGGTTGGGGGGAACGAGCGAGAGAGACGAAGGCAGGGAACGGAGACACTAGGGGAGGGAGCAGCCAAAACGAGAATTTGTTGGTGGGCGGGGCTGCCTGCCTGCGTGGCAGATTCGACAGTTGGCGTATTTCGAGGGTTGGGAGTTATCTGTTTCAGGGTGTTTTTGGCGCACCCTGACTGGTTAAGGTAATAAGACGAGCACTCTTACGGTACTACAACAAGGTAAAATATTCCTTACACTTCTTGAGAAAGGGTTAGAGAAAAATTGGCCTTACAAAATCAGGGTAATCCTGAAAAAGTGGCAGCTGGCAAGGGTAATCAGGGCGACTCACCCTTCAAATTTGAGCCCTGCACGTGATCATCAGCGGTCCTGTACTCAGCACCACTTCCTGTATCTTGAGTCATACTACACCTACTTGTATTTGTTGTTCTATACTTGATTGTCTTGCTACACTTGCTGACTGGTCTTGTGGCCTCTTGTCTCAGTGGTCAGACCAGTAGTGCTGCCCTGGTGTACTTTTCTTTGTCATGAACTGCCACTATCTCGCCTAGGGGGTGTGTCAACAAATATAATTATCTAAGCTAGCTAGTTTATATTTGTTATAGCCTTAGTTAGGTCAGTTCTTAGAGGGTACAGTCCTACCCTAGTAACCCTCGACATTTTCCCTTAGCTCATCACTCTCTCAACAGTCTAACAGTAAATGCCAAGCTGTCTGAAGCACACCAGTCTTTAGCTGCCATTTCACTCCAAGAAAACCTACCGTATCCGAGAACATACAACCATTTGCCACTAGTACATGGTGGTACGGTATGGCAGTTCCTGTCATGTGAATCATGTTGCAATATTTAAACTCGCAAGGCGATCATTGCGTCCATCACAGCTGTCGCAATCCGTCTCGCTCCACCAGGCCCACCCATTCTTATCCTGCCGTCTGCTGCTGTCTCCTGAATCACAGCTGAATTTGTTATTGTTGCTGCGGCAACTGGCCCCATTTCTTCTGGGGATCCACATAGGGCAACCTGAGTTGGAAAAAGGGGCGTTGGTTGGGTGCACAAGCGTCGTTCCACTGTTACTGGAGAGGTGGACGGCAACACGTGGTCTGAGAGAAGTTTCTATATGCGGATAAGAGAATGAAGTAGAAGTACTGAACGGTCAAACAACGGGCAAAAGCGAAGCAAAGCGCAAGTGGGGAGTGGAGTGCATTGTAGGACAAGTGCATGGGGGCGGAGTTAAGAGAGCGCATACGGATTTCCCCAGCAGTCGTGTCTGCGCCTCTGCGAAGGCTGCAGTGAACTGCGGGCCATCGCCTGGCATGATGAACACCGGCTTGCCCAGCCCCACCTGCAGGGGAGCGAGGGGAGAGGGGCGGAGGAGGGAAGGCAGACAGCGCGATCGCATGGGAAACCCATGCGAACGGGTTTCGCCCAGCAGTGGCGTCTGCGCATGGGAATGACTGCTGTGAATGGCAAGCCACGCCTGCAATGATGAACACTGGCGGGGGGCGATAGGCAGGCACACAGGCAGGCGAGCGGGGCGGGTTTTGAAAGGCCTCAGCGAATGGCCCAGCGCGCGACACAGTCAATCAATCAAACCATCTTCTGCCAATCCCGCCGCTCGCCACCACACCCAACCGAATCGCACTGCACCTCTCGATCTGCCTTTGTGGCAGTGCCTGCGAATGCGTTAACGAGCCCCTCACCCTTCACTCCACCCAAACAGCACAAGAACGCCACTCTACACCATTGTTCACCGCATTCGACCGCCTTAGCAGTAGGCGTATAGCAGCTCGCCAAATGCTCTGCAGCTGTGCGTGCTTTGCCATGGCAACCGAACAGCGCACCGATTGCAGAAGCCATGTTGCACCTCTATACATAATTCACCAATCCTCACCGCACTGCACCATACCATACCTGTCAACTCACCATCTGCTCTGTCTGCAGCCGTGCCCGCCATAGCCATCGCAGCATGTGCCCCATGAGCGCACTCAGCAAACCAGCACTGCAAGGCTCTACGCCTCTCTAAACCACTCCCCACCGCACTCCACCGCACCATGACCTTCGCTATTCTTACCATCTGCTCTGTGGCCGTGCCTGCCATGGCAAAAGTAGCATGCGCCTCATGAGCGCACTCTGCAAACCAGTGGCCCGCCACTTTCCACCGCACAACACCATACCATACAGCTCACCATCTGCTCTGTGGCCGTGCCTGCCATGGCCATGGCAGCATGGGCCTCATGAGCGCAGTCAGCAAACCCTCCTCTCACCATCACCAGCACCGCCCGCACTCCCCCCACGCTCCCATCGCTGCTTTCTGCACCGGCACTGCTCTCTACAGAAGTAAGACTGCCACGCCCCTCCCCACAATCTCTTCTCTTCTCCTCCCCTCCCGGAAGGCAGAACGCCAGCCCGTGCAACGAGCCCCCTTCACCCAGCGCCATCCACTCCTCCTCCTCCTGCCCCCCTTGGCTTCCCCGCCCTCCCCTTCCCAGCTGGGCCGGCCAGGCCTCAGAGGCCGCCAGCCTTGGGCGAGCAGAGCAGTGGAGAAAGGGGAGGGAGGGAGAGAGGGCACGATGGGGCAGAGGAACAGGACTGGCAGGGGACCGATGCTGGTGCTGCTGGCAATGTTAGTGGTGTTAGTGCTCGTGGCGGCACTGATGCTGGTGTTAGGGTTGGTGTCGCCGCTGTTGACACCAGAGCCAGAAGCCAGGGAGGAGACAAGGTGGGGGATGGAGGCGGTAAGAAGTTCCCAGTTGGAGAAGACCTGCAACGGGATGGGCAGGAACAAGGGGTGATGGAGCTGGTGATGGTGATGGTGATGGTGATGGAGCTGGTGATGGTGATGGTGATGGTGATGGTGATGGTGATGGTGTTGGTGATGGTGTTGGTGTTGGTGATGGTGATGGTGATGGTGATGGTGTTGGTGATGGTGATGGTGTTGGTGATGGTGATGGTGCCAGTGATGGTACTGGTATAACTGCTGCTGCTGGCACGGACACAGCCAGAGCCAGATGGCAATGAGGAGACGAGGTGGGGGATGGAGGCGGTTTGAAGCTTCACCTGCATCGCAGACGACAGGGGCTTTGCTGCTGTGAGCGAGGCTTAAGTTGACAACGAGGGAAAGCATGGCCAATGAGTACATCACAAAACGCGCTGATTCTCAAGGCAGAAAGAGAGGATGGAGATGGGAGTGAAAGGGACAGGTGGGCTCACCTCACCTCAGGCCCTCTTGAGCGGGGAAAAATGGCCAACACCTGGAGGAATGCTTCTGAGTCGACTCAAAAGCAGCTGGGCTCACCTCAGGTGCTCACCTCAGCGGGTGGGCTCACCTCAGGCACTCTTGATCCAGGGAAAATGGCCAACGCATGGCGGAATGGGCTGGACTGGGTGGCTGCACTCTGCAGGGGCGTTGCTTGCGCTGCTGCATTGGTGGTGTGGGCGCTGGTGCTGCATTGGGGACGCACTACATTGGTGCTCTGACTGCTGGATGTATCATGGTCGCTGTCTTGGCTGCCATTCGCAGTGTGGTTCGCTGCATCATTGGCGCTGGTGTGTTGGCGCAGCCAGGAGGGTAGTTGAGAGCGGAGGAAGGAGGAGAGGCGGTGCGATGGAGCCATGTCGTCCATCATGGGGTTGCCCAGGTACGCCACCTGCCATCACACACGCATGCATGCATGCATGGCAAGGGATACATCCAGGGCACAGCGCAGTGAGTCAGGTGATGTTGCCAAGACAGGGGAGAATCGGGGGAGTGGACGTGGAGTGGAGGGATGGAGAGATGTCATCAGCCATGGGGTTGCCCAGGTAGGCCACTGGCAGACGCATGCATGCCCATCAACAGATGCATGCCCATCGACACATGCATGCCCATAGACACATGCATGCCCATCGACACATGCATGCCCATCGACACATGCATGCCCATCGACACATGCATGCCCATCGACACATGCATGCCATGGGGTACAGATGCCATGGTTGCAATGAGTCACGAAACCATTCGTTTATCATGGGGCTGCCCAGATTTGCCCCATGGCATCAAATTCACGCGCTGTCCAGGCTGATCCCCAGCAGCTAACAGCTCCAACGCGCTTCCTTGATCCGTTTTTGAAACTCATCATGCCGCTCCACACTGCTTCACCCTGCTCTGCTCTCCTTGTCTGGGCTTGCCTCACCTCACCTTGCCTCACCTTGCCTCACCATGCCTCACCTTGCCTCACCATGCCTCACCTTGCCTCTTCTGAAGAGACCCTGCTCGCTGAAATCTGCCTCAGCTGTTGAGAACGAGGGTGAGGAGGAGCAGAAGGACGAGGAGTTGGAGGGTGCGGAGGAAGGGTCCTCAGCGGGCAGATGGTCCGCCAGCACTTGAGCCGTGAGGCGGTCCCGCACCACTGCAAGCCTGGGGGGGAAGAGGGGCGGGTAACAGAACAAGAGGCGGGAGTAGAAGACGGGGCAGGGAAGAGCGTGTCTGGCCTGGAAGCAAGTCATTGCCCAGCAGGCAGCACTTGTGCAGTGAGGTGGTCCCGCACCACTGCCAGCCTGGGAAGGGGGGGAAGAGCGGATAGAGAAGGGGAGAGTGGAAGAGGGGACAGGGAGGAGGGTGTCTGACGCATGGCTGCTGCAAGCACCTGAGGGAAACGTTCTCTCACCACAGCCAGCCAGGCAGGGGAGAGAGGGAGGAGGGGGGGGAGAGTTGGAAGGCACTAGACGAGTGGAGATAGAGGTGGAGCTAGGTGGGGATGGGTGGCGTTAGGTGGGGAGAGAGAGGTCGGAACATAGGGCAGGAAAGAGGCACAGACAGTAAGGCAGCATGCATGCTGACTTGCAGAAAGCGAGCACATGCAATGGTTGCAGCGCTTGGCGTGCCGGAAACAGGGAAGGAAGAACAGGGCGACAGGGTAGCATAACACCCCTCACCTGCAGCAGGGACGAGCCATGAGCCACCTCTCCCATGGGTGGTACACTCCCCCCGCATGCCACCACCGCTCCACTGCCATGGCGGGATGGGTGGGACATGGGCAGCGCAGCACACAGCATATGAGGCATGAGAAATGAGCAGCAATGGGCAGTTAGAAGAGTGGATGGAGATGATGGCAGTGGATGGAGGGTGGGGGGCCTCAAGGAGGAGAAAGGATGACCCATGAGGGAGGCAAAGGCCACCTCAAGGGGTGTGTGGTGCACATCTTCATCTTCCATGTGCCATGTGGTGAGGGGAGCCATCCAGCATGATGATGCATCTCGCACACCTCTTATGCTTCTCATCTCAACCTTCCCAATCCCCTCTCTGCTGAATCCACGCACATCACTTTGAGTCGCATGCTACCTCCCCTCTCTTCCCATTAGATGAAGCCAAACGGTTTACCGATGTTCGCTTCTCACTGAATGCATCTACCCATCCAACTGGCCTGCAACGGCCCACCTGGCCGGCATTCCTCGAGTGCGTCCATCCAACCTCCTTAGGTTCTCGCCGAGTGAATTGACCTAACCGGCAGCAGGTGCTCATCCTCCCCTTGGCTGTCGAACTCGCTCTTGGCCGTCCCCACCCCACGACGTCAAACCTAAGACCAGAACAGCAGCTGAGGTTCGGTTCCTCACCAAACGACTTGGCCTGTGAGGGTAGCAGCTGGTTGTCGTCCCCTCGGATGTAGAACTCGCTCTTAGCCGTCCCCATGAAGGCAAATGGCAGCGCAGCAGGCACGGAGAGCGACACTCCTTGGGGGGTTTTGGCCAGGTCACCAGTTCTAGAAGAACCGTTGAGGGGAGGTGGGAGGGTTGTGGAGTGGTTGGAGGCCAGCCAGGCGAGGGCGAGGGGGAAGACATCTCCAACTGCCAGGATGGCAGCTGGTGCGTTGCTGTGGTCTGATACCCATTGCTGGATGGCCTGCCACTGAGAGGGAGGGGAATTGAAGCGGTGGGGAGTGAAAGGAGTGAAGAGGAGTGACAAAGGGTGAGAGTAAGGAGTGGGCCATGGGAGGGCGAGAGGGAAGACACCGCCGGCAGCTAGGATGGCAGCTGGTGTGTTGGGCTGGCTGCTGTGTGCCTACACCCACTGCTGGACAGCCCGCCACTGCGAGGGGTTGATGCGGTGAGAAGGGGTGAGACGGTGCAACAGGGAGTGAGGTGTAAGGGGTGAGGCATGAGAGGGTGAGAGGGAAGACTTTGCGGACTGAAAGGATGGAAGATACGTTGTGCTGTGATCCCACACCCGCAGCATGATGACCTGCCACTGAGGACGAAGAGGGGTGAAAGGGAGTGATAGGTAGTGAGTGAGGAGCGGCGTGAGTCTGCGAGGGGTGAGGAGTGACGGGAAGCGAGGGACTGAGACGGAACACGTGGTGGATACGACAGGGTGGTGGCGCTGGCAGAACGCATCAGTGCCTGGAAGGAAGCATGATTCGGATGTGGAAAAGAGTGAGATGGAACAGTGCGAAGGAAAGGATGGCGAGGGGCCTTCCGAGCAAAAGGACGCGGTGCAGCTCGCATCAGATCAGACAGGGCCTTTCGCGGCTTGAACTCAATCCGACACTGGGTGATGAATCATGAATGGCGTGGTGTGATTGATCACAGAACGCCTCACTGCGTTCATTCGAAGCGTTGTGATCAAGTCTCACGCCCCTCGCAAACCGGAATGAACCGTGTGTCCGAATGTCAACCTCTGTGACTAGCCCCTCGCCCGCACCTGCTGCAGGGTGAGGTCTATGAGCCCAGCTGCCACGTCATTGGCCAGCTGCCTGCCGTCCATGTAGATGAACCTGCCACGGACAAGCCATGCATCCATGCATCCATGCATGCATCCATGCGGCCATGCGGCCATGCGGCCATGCGGCCGAGCATGCATCGCACCATCGCATTAGGCCGTGCCTCATCTCACCCTAAACCAAGCATTCTAGCTTGTGCATGCACCACCTGATCGGAACTCGGAGGCAGATGGCACTATGAGAAGCATCTGGGTGGATTGGACAAAGCAACGTAGCAGGTGCATGGCACACGGCATGGCACACAGCATGGGACACGGCATGGCACACAGCATGGGACACGGCATGGCACACAGCATGGGACACGGCATGGCACACAGCATGGGACACGGCATGGCACACAGCATGGGACACGGCATGGCACACAGCATGGCACACGGCATGGCACACAGCATGGGACACGGCATGGCACACAGCATGGGACACGGCATGGCACACAGCATGGGACACGGCATGGCACACAGCATGGGACACGGCATGGCACAGCAACCCGTCCCCCACTGGTATGGTCTTGGCAGCGCATGGTGCATGCCATGGTGCAATGCATGGTGCGCGCACTGCATGGTGCATGGTATGGGGCATGGCACTGGACAAGTTATGCAGCACCAGCAACCCACCCCCCACTTGGCATGGTCTTGGCAGGGCCGATGGTGGTGATGCCATGGCGGTGGTATGCCCCGCCCATGCCCACCAGGGGCAGTGCTGACATGTGTATTGTCATACGGTGGTGGGCGGCAAGGGCCTGCATGGGTGCATGGCATGGGGTGCACAAGGAGGAACGCACGGTGGTGAGAGGTGTGCATGCATGGCATGGCAGTTATATCCCGTGCCCATGCCCACCAGGGGCAGCGCTGAGACGTGCATTGTGATACGGCGGTGAGAGGCGATGGCCAGCATGGGTGTATGGTAGAGGCCAGCACGAGAGGCAAGATGGATGCGGTACGCATGCATGGTCAGGCTGTGGGACCCATGGCATGTCCCCCAAGCTCAACACCCCAAGCTCAACACTCCAAGCTCAACACCCCAAGCTCAACACTCCAAGCTCAACACCGCAAGCTCACCACCCCAAGCTCACCACCCCAAGCTCAACAGCCCAAGCTCAACAGCCCAAGCTCAACAGCCCAAGCTCAACAGCCCAAGCTCAACAGCCCAAGCTCAACAGCCCAAGCTCAACAGCCCAAGCTCAACACCCCAAGCTCAACACCTCAAGCTCAACACCCCAAGCTCAACACCCCAAGCTCAACACCCCAAGCTCAACACCCCAAGCTCAACACCCCTAGCTCAACACCCCTAGCTCAACACCCCAAGCTCAACACCCCTAGCTCAACACCCCTAGCTCAACACCCCAAGCTCAACACCCCTAGCTCAACACCCCAAGCTCAACACCCCTAGCTCAACACCCCTAGCTCAACACCCCTAGCTCAACTCCCCTAGTTCACCATGCCCCTTGAGGAAACGCCCGCTTCCATCCGCTCCCCTCACCTGCATCTCCTTCAGTATGCTCACGGCTATCGTGTCCTCCCCATGCCCGTTGCTCAAACACAGCAAGTGATATTCCCGCCTTCCCTCCCCGCCTCCATGCCGCCTTCTCTCCCCTCCTCCCTCCCGCCGCTGCTTCTCCGCCTTTCCAGTTCCCTCCCCTTCACCGTTCTTCCCTTTCCCTTCATCTCTCCCTTCCTCTCTCCTTTCTTTTCTCCTTTCATCTCTCCTTTCAGCCCTCGCCAGCCTTGGTTCTCTCGGCCCTTCTCCATCGCGCATGTAGCTCTTGCCCCGCTTAGCTAACTGCCGGTACCGAGAAGAGTGACCTTCTAAGAGCGGGCATCGTGGAGCGTCGGAAGTAAGCGGCACCGCGGAAGACGGCGTGTGTGCCTTTAGGCAGCGAGCGACAAGCGATGCGCTGTTGCGACGCTGAACGGCGCAATTGCGACACTGTACGAAGCCATTTCGATGGTCGCGAACTTCGCGAACGAGGAAGGATGGTCTACGCGACGTGTCGCGGAGAACCGCTGGAGAAGGCACTGGGAAGAGTGGCGCATAGCGGAGAACATCTCGGCCGAGAGTCATGCAGCCCAGCTGGGCCACTGTTGGACTACACGCTGATTGGTACTCTAGCAGAGCTAAGGACTTTGCTTAGCTCAGAATGCTACGTAAGTGTACGAGAGAGTTCAGTGTCCATACACAAGACTGAAAGGTTGCTCTGTTGTTGACCGTTGTGAGGGGAGTGAAATATGGGCGTTGGGCGCGTGTCCACATTTATGTTTGTGCAGTTGCGTCAGATTATCTGCGAGTCAGGAGGTTTCATAACAACCTGAAACCGTTGGGGAGGGTTTGAGCTAGAAAGGTACGCCCAGGACACGCTCTTACACCTCCAGCCAAGGGCTCGGATATCATAAATGAAATAGAAAGGAGATATAGAAAGGGAACTTGGTGTAACGGGATCGTACTCACACTTCCCCCCCTCTAAGCTGGGTGTAAGGAATTTTCCATTCCTTACCGAGCGGTACTGCTATCGCGTACGCTCGAACACACCTGAAGCCTCGGGACTGTTCCAGACCTTCTGACAGAACCGCCTCGGCTTCTCCAGACCTTTCGGTTCGACCTTCGGGAGTTCTCCAGGCCTCGCTTCGTCACTTCGAGACCCTTCGATCTCTTTCCCGAACCTTCCCATCGCATGGTTAGACTAGCTCTGGTGTTCCTATATCTTAGCTTGCCATTCCTTGTATCGTCATTCATTGAGTGAACACTTCGTTATTCATTTCCGCGCTACTCTGCTTGTTCATTCATAACACCTGGTATTCAGAGCCACTTTCCTCGCTCACCCGTTTTCGTGAGTTGATTTTTTTTGGGGGGGGGTAGGTCCCTCACTTAAGCTGCAAAGCGGTTGCTCGCGAATTAGATTGATTAATTCGCCCAACTACGATAGCGTTTGCGCTTACCTGAGTACAGGCACACGACGGAATTCCCCCTGCCCCGGCGGAGCATTCGCCAAATGGACCAAGCTCAGTTCAACGAGCTTCGGGAGCAGTTCAACGCCATGAACACGCGCATGGCTACAATGCTGGAGGACAACGAGCGACTTCGTGCAGAAGTTGCTGAGTTACGCCAGGCGCGAGAGGATTCGCGTCAGAAAATTGCCGCTCAAGAGGAGGTCTCCAGCACCGGACGTGTCGAAACCGTCTTGGACGAAATCGCACGCCAGGTGTCACAGGAGCGCAAGGACAGTGAAGCCGCCGCAGCAGCTGACGTGGCAGCACGAGCAGCAGCCGAAGCAGCAGCAGCAGCAACGACAGCAGCAGCCGCTCGGTCAGAAGCAGCAGCTACTGTAGCCGCATCGGCGTTTATGCCGATCGTGACGACAGCGACGATCAAACCGACAATGCCGCCCCCGTTCAACCCCACAGATAAGAATACTACTGTTACGGGCTGGTTATTCTCGGCGGAACTTTATTTTAATGCTGCTGGGATTACTGCTGACGAGTTAAAAAATTGAATGGCTGTATCACTACTGCGGGGACCTGCGCTAGATTGGTGGCGATATACCCTACAGGAGGGGGAGTTTTCGGCAGGCGACACACAGGGGTTTTTCGGAAACTTTGGGTCTGCTGCCCAAGGGTCAACCGCGATTTTTGGATCGACCAAGATTCGCACGTGGAAGGCGTGGGGTACAGCTCTGCGTGAACGTTTCGAGCCAATATCCGCCTCGGACAACGCACGCACGAAGCTGGACAACTGGCGCGAGTGGAGTTCTGTCTAGGATTATGCGTCGGTCTTCATGGCGTTATGCGATCAAATCACCGACATGCATGACTCCGAGAAGAAAGCTCGATTCATTTCGGGTTTGAAGCAGGACATTAAATGCGAGGTCCGACTGCGACTGCCGGCGACGTTTCACGAAGCCGTTCGGATCGAAGACAACTTCGACGCGCATCGGACGTATGCGAGAGCGGGTTCCCGGGAGGGAAATCGTTTTCGTGGCCAGAATCCACGGCCCACGATTCACGGCGTAGTGGCGAAGGAGCACATGGACGATTTTCGCAAGGGACAATGTTTCAACTGCCACCAGTCGGGTCACCAATCTCACGATTGCCCTCGAAAGAAGCAGATAAAGAAGAACGACGAAGACAGGTCGGGAAACGCCAAGCGTCAGTAGCGGTCGGGCCCCCTACTGACCCTGTCTCCTCGCCCGAAAAACAACATCCCCACCGAGTAGTGGTTCCGATACATGCTATCAACCGCTCCCGGCTGACAAAGGAGGATGACCCAGTGGACCACCCTGTACTGGCGGAAGGACGACTTCATGGAAGAAAAATAAAAATATTCATCGACGGAGGTGCGAGTCACAGCCTGATAAATCGAGAGACAGCACGACGACTACACCTGATGCTGGAGCGGTGTCTACCCGAAATCGACGCGCGATTGGTGGACGGCACCCCGCTGGCGATACGCGACAAAGTACCTGTCGTTCGAATGAAGTGTGGCGACGATTTTGGTTTCAGTTCGCCGATGCTGGCGACAACGCTCGACGGCTACGACGTGCTATTGGGACGCGACTGGCTGCGAAGATTCAACCCGCAAATCGATTGGACGACAGGCGAGTGCACAGTGAAGTGCGACAAAGGCTGGCGAAAATTACCCACGTGGCCGAAAGCAGAGACAACATCGACACGAGTCAATGCGGTGTGCCTCAATCGAGCGGTCAAGAATGGAGCGAATTTATACGCCGTCCATCTAACCGAATCGACGGAGCAGAATGAGGCGACCGGCATCAACAAACTCTGCGATTCGGTCCCGGACGACTGAGCGAAAATCATTCGGGAATATCCTGAGATTTTCCCGGACGACTTGCCAAGTGGATTGCCACCCGAACAACCCCAGGACCACAAGATCGAGCTGGAGCCCGGCGCGCAGCCTACTGTACGCACGCAATGGCGCCTGACTCAGCCGGAGCTACAGGAGTTACGAAACCAGCTGGATTACCTCCTGGCGAAAGGGTTCATTCGGCCGAGCACGTCACCGTTCGCAACACCAATCCTGTTCACGCCAAAAAAGGACGGCGGCCTTCGCATGTGTACGAATTATCGTGCCCTTAATCTGGTAACGATAAAATCGCGCTACCCAATCCCATGAACGGACGAACTGATCGACAACCTTCGCGGAGCTCGTTATTTTTCGAAGATCGACCTTCGTGGCGGTTACCATCAAATTCGAGTGTTCGCTGATGACTGCCACAAGACCGCGTTTCGTACTCGCTATGGGAGTTACGAATACACGGTGATGCCGTTTGGATTAACGAACGCCCCCTCGACGTTCCAACTCACCATGAGCGGGGTGTTCCGCGATCTACTCGACAAATGCGTAATAATTTACCTGGACGACATCCTGATCTACAGCAAGACCCGGGAGCAGCATTTAAAAGATTTGGAAGCGGTTTTTCAGCGGTTGCAGCAGCATCGACTCATCACCAAGGGCTCCAAGTGCGAGTTTTACAACAAGAACTGGAGTTCCTGGGGCACGTGATCTCCACGGAAGGGATTCGAATAGACCCGAAAAAACTCAGGGCTATTCAGGAGTGGAAACCACCCACAAATCTGCAGCAGCTGCAATCATTTTTGGGTTTCGTGAATTACGTGAGGCGGTTTATACCCAACATGGTGGGGTTAACTGGACCTCTAACCGACCTCCTGCAGAAGGGGACTTTTTACGAGTGGGGGGAGAAGCAGCAAGCTGCGTTCGAGGCATTAAAACATATTTTAATGTCGCCACCGGTACTTCGCATCGCTGACCCGGAACGGCCCTTCGAAGTCATCACCGACGCAAGTGACATCGCCATCGGAGCAGTGCTCATGCAGGATTTCGGCAACGGTTTCAACCAATTGCGTACGAGTCTCGGAAAATGCAATCTGCTGAGCGCAACTACCCGGTACACGACAAGGAGATGCTGGCGATCGTCCACGCGTTCAAAATCTGGAGGTGCTACCTGACTGGAGCAGACGTGACGGTGCGAACTGATCACAAATCACTACAGTACCTGCGGGCGCAGCCAAACCTCAACCCGCGGCAGATACGCTGGCTGGACTATCTGGAGTCGAACTTCACGTACAAGATCACGTATAAAAAGGGCGCCAACAATATTGCCGACGCCCTTTCCAGACCATCTGCCCAACTCGCAGCAGTACTAGTCGCCCAGAGCAACCCGCTACTGAGTGGATTATTTACCCACGGGTATTCGACTGACCCCTTCTTCGTAAATGACGGCCATCTCCCAATCACTACACGGAAAGGCGTCTATTACGTACGAAGCGGAACTGATCGAATTTGGGTCCCGAGTTATCGTCTACTTCGCGAATTACTAATTCAATAAGTCCACGATTCGAATTTATCGGGACCTTTCGGGGTTGATAAAACTTTGAAGGCGTTGCAGTGGTTTTATTACTGGCCAGATATGGTGACGGACGTGCAGCGTTACGTGGCCGTGTGTCCGATCTGCCAGCGACCTACAGGACTGTTGCAGCCCCTCGAGCCACCTCAACGCCCATGGCAACACGTAACGATGGATTTCGTTACGGGTCTACCGGCCGGATCCAGCGGAAACGACGCGGTTTTGGTTGTCGTCGACCGATTGACGAAGATGGCGCATTTCGCACCATGTCGTACAACCATCACAGCCGAAGAAACAGCGCGCCTGTTCATCTCGACCGTTGTTCGTCTACACGGGATACCAGCAGCAATCATTAGCGATCGAGATCCGAAGTTCACGTCAAAATTCTGGCAGGACACGTGGGCTCGGTACGGCACGCGTCTATAGTTCTCATCCGCGTATCATCCCCAAACGGACGGCCAGACGGAAAGGACAAATCAAACGATGGAGCAGCTGATTCGGACAAACTACCCCGACCAAAACAAATGGGAGGACGTGCTGCCCATGTTGGAATTTTCCTACAACAACGCACCCTCGGCTACGACTAATCACTCCCCGTTTTATCTCAATTACGGGATGGACCCTACAGTGCCGATCTCCACCAACGTTGAGAGTCAAGTACCGCGATCGCAGCAGTTCGTCGACGAACTACAGACTGCCCGAGACAAAGCTGTTGAGCTTATTCGTAAGGCGAACACAACTGCTCGACGGTATACGGATTTACATCGCCGGGATATTACGATGACAGCAGGGCAACTAGTCCACTTGGACACCAAGAATTTACGACTGCCACTACCGACAAAATTACGACCACGTTTCTGTGGCCCATTCAAGATCGTGAAGA